GGGCTGCTTCCAACATAACATATATTCATTAAAAATTACACAAAACATTATGACATAGTCAATAACAGGTACAGTGCAAAAAATATAATAAATAATGAATAGCAAGAAAGAAAAGAGCGTCAAGTGCTGACAGGAGGGAAGGCCTGGATGTACATCCATTCTTTTTAAATATTTGTATACTTACTGTTTTAGTTTTTAAATACTGCTTTAGGGATATAAGCTGCCTTGGGTCCTTTTGGGGAGAAAAGTGGCAGAGAAATATTTTAAAATTAAGTACTTTAAATAAACTGGAAGCAGGTACTTGTGAACATTTTACCTTGGAGATGCTGTTGTTAAATCTTCTGGTGATAAGGAATGTGCTAAACTTTCTTCCTATACAGCATCACTCCTTGAATTATGGTTTCACTTCCTTTCAATAGAAATCACAGGCAGCAAGGACTGCCAACAAGACTAGAACTCTGGGAGAACCAGACGGTAATAACAGCATATTAAGAGGTTTCTAGGCTTTGCAGTGATAGGAAAAATCTGCTGGTTCCCAAACCCAGGAGAACAGTTGCCAATTGGAGTTGCCAGAACTGCCTTAGATTAATATGCAGTCTAGCACAACAGAAGGCAGCACCCCCTCACAAGTAACAGGTTCTGTTCTTAAAACAACAAAGTAAAAATGACAAGAGCTCAGTTATTACAAAACATGGATCTGATTTTTAGAAGATGCTTCTCCAGAGCTTCCAAAAAAGGAAGAGCAAATATTGCCACCAGCCTCACTCCAGTCTAAAGCAGCACTATGTTTACTGATGAAAAAAATGTGTCTCTCTCAATCTCAGCATGGTTGGGATGTATTTGAGGGTGACCCATCAGACACCACAGAAGAAGAACCTTATTTGTAGCTTTGTAGATATCTGGCAGCTGGGAGAAGGCATTCTTGAATTCTTGTTGGCTTGTGAGGCGAATCTTCTTGATCTGCTCCTCTTGCTTATTCTACCATATGGATGATGTGACTGGTCTTGTCCTGTCTAGTTGTGGTCATACCCTGCCCAATGTTGCTCCCTACATCTGCTCTTGTCTTTATCTCTGACCAAGACTCCACTTTTGGCTCCAGATGAATCTGTCTGGCTCAGCGTTCAAGCTGTGAATAGCCACAGTGTTCTTCTTGAGGCCATGCCCCTTGTACTTCACAAAGGCAACATTGCTCATAGTTGGGCCTAACTAATGTTTGTCACCTTTGTTGCTCCTTGTGTGATCCGTTGCCTACACAAAAATTCACGTGCAGTGCTAGCCATCTCAGAAGTAAAACAAACAAGCAAGACCTTTTGGTGTTTTGGTGTTATTTGCATGCAAAGTTATAAAAGAGCTACTCATTGGGATACTAAGAAAGATAAACATATGGCAAAACTCTAAAGCCTGTTTCTGGAAACCTACTTGGAGAGAACAGCTAATCCATTGTTCTGAGTCTGAAAAATATTATGCGTCTGGAGTGGGAAATAGATGTGGAGAGATCCAAGAAAACAAAATTCAGGGAGCAAAAAATCACAGTGGCTTTCCCAAAGCAAGCACAGAAGGCCAGAAAGAGTGTGGGCAGGTAGAAGGTGCACCGTTGATGGTGTGAAATAGGGTTTGCATTACCAGAACTCTGTCAGAGAAATCCCAGAATACAGAAATACCTGGCAATATCAAATTTTCCCATATTCAAATAGGTAGAACTGTTTGTTGGGGGTTAGAAGAAAATCATCAGCTGCTATGGCAACAAGTTCTTGCCAGTTATAAAGCCTGGAAGAGGTGAAAGTGGAAATAAACTGGGCTTTGAAAATTAAAAGGAAGGGTGGACAGCTTCTTACATTTAAAATCCTTGTACAGCAGAGCCCTTACTAGCATCACTCGCAATGGAAATGTTTCTTTCCAAAAAGAGCAGTGACATTCATAGCCCTTGTTGCTGAAAATGGCCTTGCTATATTATGAGAGAGGGGAAGAAAGCCAAGTCCTTCAGGCACCGGGTACTGTTTAATGATTCATTATTTCCTTCATAACAGAAAATATTCCATGTACACACAAGGGCAGACCTAGGGCAGAGCATGCATGCCCCAAATTTTCTGCCAGCAGGTACCCTTTCAAGGTAAGACGTGCCTGCTAAAGTAGCCTGGACATCTGCATAATAACCACAGCAGATTGCTAGGAATTTTGGCTCATGTTTTGTGGCCCCAAATGTCCTTGACTCCCATAAACCCAAGCCAGGAGGCCCAATGGTCTGAAATATGCATAGACCAAAGGTTCAGCCCACTGCTCTAAGGCATGCATTTCTTTCATGAAAAGTGTTCTGTAGATCTGTTAGGCTCACCTGTGCACAATCCTATTTTGTACACATTACAGGGAAATATAGGCAATTAAAGGCTAGCTTCCTTTTATCTGGCAACAGAGAGGAGGTTTTTTTAATCAGTTTCTTTGGAATACTGCTTGGAAACCACTTGTTCTAAATAGTTATGATATAGAGAAGAACCAGAGGTTGTGATGACCCAGAACTGCGGCCAAAAAAGCCTCTCTGCATTTAGTTCTCCCCTAATCTTTTGAAGCATCTTGTGAAATTCTCTGTGCACTATTCATTTATTTGGGCTTTCATCAGATTGGATATCTGTAAGATTTCCAGCTGACAAACATTGGTAAATCCCAGGATTTACACAGTTAGAAGACAGATACTGAGTTTCGTCTAGTAAAATGAGGTAAACATTTAGCCCTGGCTATTTTTATCTAAGCTGTACTTGGTCAAGTGCCAAAGTAAAGCATCAAAGCAAGATGCAGCAAGAACACCGTGAACTTCACCATTCACCCCCTCCAACTATTTCCCCCTCCTTTCATTCAGCAGTTTTCTACAGAAAATCAAAGCTCACACATGCGACGTGGAAATCTACACAGGACTGTTATGAACAGGAACCAATAGCTGTAGTGGAACTTATCATGACTATTCTCTGCAATCTGTGAGAGTCTTTAAAAATCTTATTAAAATCCTTTATTTCCTCAAAATATTGTGTGCGATGTCCCCATAACCACTCACATGTTGAAAAAATAGTGGTAGAATTCATTTTTAGAACTATCCACTTTGATAACGGCCTGAGTCCTGTATGTCATTTTGTCATGTAAAGTTTATGCACCCATAACTTTGCTAGATGTTATGCCTAAGCAACAAAAATTGCACATGTGGATTGCACCATTACTCACAAGGCTGCTATTGTGACCAATTGTGCAAGGATGTGCTTTGTAAATAGCACTTCTGCCTTGGTGCTATTACACCTACTGCTTCTGTAATGTCAAATTATCCAAGTGTAGCTACTCAACAGGATTTCGGCTTGTGGAGGCACGTCTGAGGAGTTGCTTATTTCTCTACTGGAGACAAACCCACACACAGGAGAGGGGAGAGAAGACCATGAACCACCAGATCAGGTGCTCTCCTTCTGTCATTAAGTACTTCCCCAACATATAAAGGAGTATCAGAACTATCTCCACCCCAGCCTTTGGCCTATGTATTCAACTCACACAAAAAATTATGAATGCCACAGCTGTGTGTATACATGCTGAACTGAGGAAAGGAAAACAAGGAGAGAATTTGCCCAAGAGATCCATTGTGCTTTATGATAAAACAACTGGGAGGTAAATCGAAGTTGAGTGATGACCAACAAAGCAACTTAAGCAGACTGCCTAGAAAAAAAATCATAAGAATTATTCCAGGAACTGCTAGCTAAGCATCTGTTACTGCTTCTAGACATGGTATTCTTCATCAAAGGACAAAGGAATTGACTAATTGACCTGTATAGAGTCTCATTGGGTCTTTGGCACTGTTGTTCTCTTTGTATAGTGTTCCTCATCATGAAAAAAGGCACATATTCAAAGGGGAGGGAGGAAAATCTGTATTTTCAGAAAAAGTCTTTTAGATGGCATTTTACTGATGCTATGAGCAGAGATGTTACCAAATACAGATGCTAGATGTTGTGTTTGTCATGTTTATTTATTAAGTGAGGTGTATGAGCAATGTATAGAAACCAAAATAAACCTGTAATGGACATGGAGGTGTTATTCTGAAAGCATCCTGTTGACACTCAATAACTTACGGATGGATGGAAGTAAGGTACAGATCATGGATTCTCAGACTAGAAACTAAAGCTACTCAGGGCAAGTTGGAGCAACAGGGTACATTCTTTGCAGCCCAGCCATTTTTTCTTTGAATATCTATACTACAATAAACTTATTCATAACAAGTTGGCGCCTGTGAAAAGTGTTCATGACTTCTGTCAAGTTCAATCGAATGCCCATCCAAAGGTGCACTCAAATGATGACTTTGTCCACCTGCCCAGCTTAACTTTTTTCTGGAAAGCCTATCAGGATGTCCATTTGGACATGCATTCCATCAGCTTATGTGCTTTCAACTGTGCACCTGACGTAAAATGCCTACATTTCACTGATTCCAATGCAATGTGCACTTAGTACAGTTGGGTGCACATCTGACACACATGTGCATTTCACTGAAATCAGTGCAGTGCCAACAGACCACCTCTGTGTGTGGAAGCACTTTGTGGCCATGCATTCCTTTCATCTGGCAATCCTTTAAGGACCCTTAGGGTGCTCAGAGAAGGAGCTGGGAAAAAGGTAATGCCTACAGGCAATCCCTCCTGCAACCTTCATATGGCACAAGGGAGTCCCCTCAAGTTCCGTGATCATTAGGGGAGAAGGGCCTGACAGTTAGCATTCTTTCTTGTCTGTTCAAACCTCCAGAGAGGCAGTGGATGGTGGGGTCAATTCCTAATTGAAAAGATCCAGGAACTTGGGTTGAAAGAATGTCTATGCCTGCTCCTCATAGTCCCATTTTGATGGTTCCTTCTCCTTTTTGTTCTCTTCCCATCACACCCACACCCAATCATTTTCCTTTATGCATTAATGTACTTAAGTACATATGCAAACAATCTGAAAAGAAATACACAGTTTCTTTTTAATGCAGGACTGATAGGTTTATGCTGAGGAGCTCTTGCTGAACAGTTTCTGTAGCACCTTTCAGAAAGTAACAGGAATCAACTGGACTGGGTTTGGAAAGCAGATTTTGTCTTCTTGCTCTTCTTTCCCAGTAACAATTCCTTCAGCACCTGTTATTACCAGTGTTTGGTGGCTTATCCTGAGGAAATATAAAGGTACAGCTTGAGCACGTTTCCCTTTCCGATACACAAGGTTTCTTTTACATCATTATGTAATTTTGAGAATTGGTGTAAGTGAATTAAAGGTAGAAAGGGGGAGAGAAAGAGAGAATATCATGGAACTAATAATAGGCAGACTCTGAGGCTTACAAATGTATCTTAAGCAAACCAGTTACCAATTCAGGAAAGGTAGAACATGAAGAAGGGGAAACTCAAGTAACTACTAGACAAACCAGATCAACAGTCCGGATGAGGATTACATTTCAGCCTTTCAAACATTCCTTGGCCCCACAACGCCATCATCCTCTGCACCTCCCATGTTTTATTTTTCTTTTTTAAAAAAATACAGTAATTGCAACATTAGAAAAAGAATTTAAGCAGCTTAGGAGGGAAACAGTCTGTTCATAAAGCACAATACCCTTTTCATTGTGGGACTCCTTGGGTTCTTCTGCTTATTCCAGTGAAATATTTGAAAGAATCAAAGGCCCCTTTCCCAGACATAAATGAATAACATAGCTGTGTATCATTATATTTGTTGACCATGCAAGAGCATACTGAAGGAAGCACATTCAGAGGTGCGCCTCTCATCTGCTGTTTCAGTTGAGTTTAATCTAGTACAATAAATTCACTTATTGCCATGCAGTTCATGGTGAAGACCACGGTCTCCATAGTCTACAATCCTAATGCCCCTGGGGGTGGCAGAGCAAAGACCACTTTCGACTAATTATCCAAACATAATGGATTTTCTAAACTAAGGGGCTTGGGTGGTCTCAGCCAAGCTGAAGACCATTCCTCAAATTCGCCAGCAGATCAAGGGTGCAACTCCTAAGAGGAGGGGCTAAAGGAGGGATGTGACCAAAGACATACAGATTGGCCTATTTAATTTGCAAGGTTTATTTTTGGGGTTTAACTTTAAAAAGGTGTTTTTAACTGAAAAAGCACTCTTGTGCCTCTCTTTTGGCCCCAAGAGTCTAGAGGGGCCCAGGGATTCAGGGACCCCTGCAAACAAAGCAAACTTGCTCCTTCACATACCAGAAAAGGGAGCACAAAAGGCCATTCCAAGCAAAAAAAAGGGGGGATTGGGTTGGGGAGGGGGTGCCCAAGTATCGTGGGCCCCATAAAAGCACTGCTAGGAGACTTTATGTTGCTCACACTTATTGAACCAGAAGTACCTCATAAATTGAAGGGAGGGATCCCTCGAGATCCACAATAAGAGAAAGAAATAGAGTCAAGTACTGAATATGTTTTTTAGTAACAGGAAGGGAAGTTAAACTATACATTCACTATTAGAAATAAGTTGAAACTCACCAGTATTTCCTAAGTTATTATGACTACAGTATTTCATAATGATGTTGACATGTTAGTACTGAACCACTGAAGCAAAAGGTAACACGGCTAGAAAAATAAAAACAAGACCATTCTGTATGTAGACCTAGAAAAGAAAAGAGGTGAACACACATACAGATTACTGATCTGTCTCCTTTCAACTCCATTACTTGGTATCACTTGCTCTGTTCATCTGCCTTGGCAATTGGTCACTGAGGCCAAAATTATGACAGCCCTTTGAAAACTGGTGCAATGACAGTGCACTAGAGGCTGTTCTTGGTTTCCAACATATTACAAGAGATTCAGCTCCAATAAACCTATCTTCTGCATATTTTTGTTTACATCTGTCCTCTAACAGGAAATACAAGTGAATTATACCGTTGTTTAGCAGGGCACAATTTCCAGAATTTAAACATTTCATATCTTTGTCCTGCACTTCCCGCAGTTCCCTTTCCTTGGTGGAAGCCAGGGCTGTTGCAGGATAGGAACAGTCAGTTTTTAATGACTGAAAATTGCTATCACCAGTAATGTCATTCTGGCAACTCCCATGGTTTACATACTTTGAAAGTGATTACCCAGGACCCATGTGAGTCATGGGACAGAAGTAGGAAATGTTTAATTTCTGAAAATTATCAGCTGCTGCTGATGTCATCAGGCTTTCACACATGTGGTTACAACCAGAATGCATAAATGAATAAACTCTTTATTTGCTGCACCACAGTGCGTAAACCTCTTTTATTCAGCATGATTAATTACAGAGACAGAGGGTAAAAGTCCTAATGTACCTATTTTTGTCATGGTTAATAGGTTTGGCCCAAGGATATTAGGATATCCGAAGGGCTGTCTGATTCGAAATCCAGCTGCTTTGTTCTTAGGGGGCAGAAATTATAGGGAAACATTTTGTCTAAACAGAGAGAAACCGAGACATTGACAATGGAGCAGACTAGTTGGATTCCTTCACTAAAAGAGGCCAAGGAAGGCCGTTTATCAAACATGCTGTAGTTCCATCCTGTTGACAGCTCCTGTATTGAGCTGGAGCTTGCCTAAATGATCTTGAAGTCCCTTTCCAGCTTTATGATTTTGATATTCCTTTCTATATTGGTTGAGAGCCTTACATTTGAAGGCTCAATATATTATTTATTCCCTCCCTTGTATTTGATTAACACATATCTGCTATCCAAATTTTTTTTTTTTTTGCAAAGACATTTTTGTGGGCATAGAAATAAGACATAGGAGAAGAGATCTTGGATGTCAAAAACAAACAAAAACCCTCTCATTTTCTCTTTCTCTTTTAAAAAGTGTCACAGTATTGTAAGAAAATACTTTAGGAGAATAAATGAGATAATTTCTGTCTCACCAAACAGCAATTTTCTTTTGACATGAAAAATATCCATCCAAATTCCAAACTATCTTCATTATTACAAACAGCTCATGTGGTTTAATTTCTCCTGCTGAATGTCAAAATTTCTTTTCTTGAAACTCAGCATTTTTAAAGTCAAAAATAAATTTAATATTGATCATGCCATGTTCTCTGGAATGTTTGCCCTCAATTTCTAGGAAAGACTGGCTATGGTGGATCCTAATGTCTCCATGCAGTAGAGTTGGAAAAGTTTAGTTCCGTACTCCGGCAATCCATTGTGTTTTTTGAGTTTCCTGGCTTCCCTTCTTTCTTGTCTCCCCACCCCACCCCCAGTACTAAGGGCAATATGGAACCTTAGAGTTTTTGAATCCCCTTCCCCCTTGGGGACTCTTAGCAGGACTAACACCCTTCTTCATGGGTCTTCTTTAGAAATATAGTCCCATTCCCATTGAGGTTCATGGTGTTCAGGTAAGAAGTCTTCAGCCTGGTATTTTAGGCTTAGATGAAACACCACAATCTAAGACAGTCCAAACTATTAAATTGATATTATTTAATAAAGAGGGAACTTGTTTACTAAAGGTTGCAGCATTCAACCTGTAGTATGTGACAGATTTTAACTACAGTATCTTGAAATGGATACTGTTGTTTTCACCAAACTTGCAGGCTTCCCCCCCCCCATCAGCCCAAATCACCTGAAATAAATCCAAATTTACTCCTAGCAAATGCTCTTTATCCTAGCCTTTCACACCCAACCAGTTTTCATTTTGTTGTTTTAAGTCGTTAGGTTGTGTCCGACTCTTCGTGACCCCAGGGACCAGAGCATGCTAGGCCCGCCTGTCTTCCACTGCCTCCTGGATTTGGGTCAAATTCATGTTGGTCGCTTCGATGACACAGTCCAACCATCTTTGTCCTCTGTCGTCCCCTTCTCCTCTTGCCTTCACACTTTCCCAACAACAGGATCTTTTCCAGGAAGTCCTCTTTTCATGCGATGGCCAAAGTACTGGAGCTTCAGTTTCAAGATCTGTCTTTCCAGTGAGCACTCAGGGTTGATTTCCTTCAGAATTGATAGGTTTGTGCTCCTTACAGTCCAAGGGACTGTCAAGAGTCTCCTCCAGCACCACAATTCAAAAGCGTCAATTCTTCGGTGGTCAGCCTTCTTGATGCTACTCTTTCCCATCTGTGTGGGAAATCTGTTATTGAAATTCAGCTTACATCTGGCTGCCCCCTAACAAACCCATTTATCTCCATTAAAAAACAACAGCAACCTCTCAAAAGTACCACATCAACTGGACTGCCAGACCTCACCACCTTAAACCTACACTACCCAGGCAACACCTTAATGTAGTTTCAAGAGCTATAGACAAAACAGGAAGCCATCCTGTCCATTGATACAGAGTACATCTCAACAACTATGAACCTGAATGGCTGAGAAAGTCCATGGGTAAGCCCGGATGAAAGGTAAATGTAAATAATTTTGAAAAGCCAAAGTCTCTAACTCACTCTGCTCCCAATGGCTGTACAGGTAGGAAAGCAGCAAGTGGGCAAAGACCAACTGTCAAGAACTTAGAGCACTGTTGCTCCAGCAATCGTATTACCTCAGAGATCACGTGACACCTTCTCTCATTATGTCCTCAGCAGTATGTCAACAGTTATTTAAATGTCTCTCACACTCAAGCCCAACCAGGCTGCTTGCAAGAGTGAAATAAAAGTCTTGTCCTGTGGATCATAAATACTTCTGCATGGGCTGCTGTCAGGCTGTTTTGTTTTTGTTTTTCTTATAAGCTCATAAATGATAAGTAGTATCTCCATGATTGCGGGGAGGGAATTTGAATCCTTCCCACCCTTGTCTCTTGGCTCATGATTGGTGGGGCCAGCTTGTATCTACCCCAGTGATATCTTGCCCACACCCTACTTCCTGAATTATCGTTAGAGCACCAGCCTGCATCCATGCCAGTGTCTTCCCAACCCCCTCAGCCTCATGAGTCATCCCATTCACACAGCTCATGATTGATAAACCATGCATTCCTTCCCACCCTTCCCATCATTATAAATGAAAATAGGGTTTGTGTCCCTCCTTTTTTCCTGCAATATCCTTCCCTAGGAGCATGGCCCTGAGCTACCTTGTCTAATAAAGAAATTTGATTCAGAGTTGTTGTACATAGCATTTTATTGAGCAGGCATCTCTCCTCAGAAGCACCCTTGTATCTTAGACAATGAGTAGACCAGGGGGTCAGGGAACATTTTTATACAGTATATGCCAATTTATATACGCCAACATTACCCCACCCTGTCCCTGCACCGCCCCTCCACTCTCGCCATCTGAGGCTGACCCCCCCCCACATCTGCACTTGCCTGGGACCTGCGGCTGCCACCCGAGCAGCCAATCTGGAGCTGCGACGCCACTGGGAAAGCGCGTCCTTGGTGAGGGGAGGCGGGCACCACAAGGCCGGCAGGTCCACTGGCCATGAGCTCAGTTGAGGCAGGGTGGGAAGGGGGCCTCCTTGACAGCACACTGGGTGGATGGGCACGGGCAGGAATTAGAGCCCCAGCCAGGGCTTCACGAGGCAAACAGTCCAGCTGGCCCAGTCCATCACCCTCCCCCACACTTTGGAGGTGAGGAGGGCAGGCAGGAGCCCTATGCAGTTCCTCACCGGGGCTCGCTGTCCCTGCGATGGAATGCCCGACTACTCACAGTATCATCAGAAATAGAATGCCTGGGTGTAATGAAGATGGTTGTGCTGTCGCAATCATCCTCATTACCCCCAGGATTTTCATTTTTACCTCATTTGGGGTAATTTACACCTGTTCCCTGACCACTGGAGTAGACAGACAGCAGAGAGAGATGTGCAAAGTTCTTTTTTGTGTAGATGTGCTACAGCTGATGCATAGCTGTCTGACTAGACCAGATGCAGGACTTGGGCAGTTCAGTGCCTGCAGTCACACATGGCTGGGTGCTTTTGGAGCTGCACCTGTAGCACAGCTGGTTGTTGATTCCAAATCCAGATCAAGGTGAGTGTACTAGCAAAAACCATCCTTGAGCCTCATCAGGAATTTACTATTTGGGGATTCCGTGGGGTTTTTTTTTTTTAACAATCTCATATACTCTGTGAAGGTTTCACAGCCTTTGGCATTCCTAGTTTGAGGCCATGAATTACAGCATTTCTTGCTACTTTCAGCAGGCAGGCCCCAGCAAGTTTATTAGGATTGGGATTAATAACTCAGGTTATGAGGGCTGCTGCTTCAGGCCAATCAACTGTTCCATTGCCATCGGCTATTTGTTGAACCCTATGAGTAGTATACCAGGCATAGGTCTTAGCAAGAACCTGGCATTTCTCATCTTTGCTTAGGAGGCTGCTCAGAAGAGTGGTGAGTAGTAATGATCCGTTGGATCAAGTCCAGGTACCTCTGAAGGGCCTCTCGATAGGGTGGAAGATCTTGTTTCCAGTTAAATAAATCAGCAGTGGGGAATGAGGTATGGGCCAGAACTAATTTATTTCCCATTGGAAGCTCTATTAAAGGGAAAACTTTCTCCACAAGTTTAGGTGTAAAGCAATTTGGTGGCACTCCCCGTGTGGTTTGTTTAGATTAGGGGTTCCCAACCCCCGGTCTGCAGCACGGTGCCGATCCGTGGGCTTCCTTCAACTGGGCCGCGGACACAGATCTTCATCTCCTAGGCACACATGGGGTGTGTGTCACACTTGTGGAGGGGCATGTCATGCTCGTGGGTGGGTGCGTCACACTCCCAGGTGGGCGTGTCGTGCTTTCGTGGCTCCCCATTGGCTAGCGGGCGGGCTGTTGGTGTCTGCTACTGGCCTCTTTGTTCTCTCAAATGGAACGTTCATTCCCCCTTGTTGGCTGTGGCTCTTCGGCCCTGGTGGCGGCGGCAAACAAGCAGCAGCAGGAAAGGAAAAGGAAAGGAAGAGAGAGGGAGGGAACGAGTGACAGACCATCAAGACCAACAGACAGATGGGCACGAGCTCTCCACAGCAGGCTGCGAATAGAAACCGGGGGGGGGAGGGGAGCGCACATGAGAAGGCTGTTCTCTCAGCATCACCCTCTTCCATGGCACGTCTGGGCAGGGAGTGGAGGAGCAGCAGGCGGGAGGAAGGAGAAATGCGCAGCCAGGTTGCGAGTGGAGCCCATCCTTCACCTCAGCCACAGAGAGGACGAGGCGACGACAGCAGCAGCAGCAGCGGCACACCTCAGCCACAGAGAGGACGAGGCGACAACAGCAGCAGCAGCGGCGGTGGCACCAGCGCCCTTAGAGGTGGCCCGATGAGGCACTCAAGGTAAGGGCTCCGTGTCACCCCCTCCTTCCCTCCCTCCCTGGCACATCACTGGAGCGCCTCGCCAGGTGACTCATGAAGAGTGGCAGGATGGGGGGGGGAGAGAGAGACCTAAAATTAGAAGCCCCGGTGGTGCCAAACCCCTGACCCTGCAAGCTTCACCGCTTCGGAGGGAGAAGACTGCCAGGCAGGGAGAGGGCTCCCCTTCTGGACACGTGGGTGCTTGGGGGCCCCCAAGGTGGGACCCAGCCCCTAAAAGGTGGGGAGGGTCAATGGCGGAGTTGCTACTGTGCCTTCCAGGACCAGGGAGACAACTCTGAAGCAGGGCGCTTCTGGGAGCCCCTGATGAGGAAGCCCCGCGCTCGCCAAGTAGGTGCCGCCGCCACGGCTCCCGCTCCCGGTTGGACTGAAATTAGAAGCCAGGCAGATTTTGAGAGCGGGTGGGTGGGTGTGTCACAATTGTGCACATGCGTGCAAGCATGACACGCCCCTCCACAAGCACAACATGCCCCTCTGTGATCGTGATACACCCACCCGCAAGCACTGGGGTGCCCCTGCCCCCCAACCAGTCTGTGCATGGAGCTCGCCCCCCCCCAATGGTCCACTGTCCCAAAAAGGTTGGTTGGGGGCCACTGCTTTAAATGTCTCATTTACCTTGGTCCCAACATGATGGTGCATAACAACAACATATATTTGCAGAACAATGAAAACTGGTTTTCCTGCATAGGCTTCAAACGAGCACAACAGAGTCAAGTCCAGCTTTCTCAAGGTTATATAATTGGTCAGTGGAATTATCATCTGCCTTCAGCCATTCCTGGGGTTTTACAGACTGCAAGGAATGGAAACACCCCTCAAGCAATGATTCATACAGTTTCATTATATTTCCTCAAGCCAGTGATTCATGGTGTTTGCTTTCACAGGATGTGTTATCTCCAGTGGAACAGGAGCACACAGGGAGGAGATTCACCATGTGCGGGTATGTCCACCGTCTAATGTGCTGTGTTTCCATGAAGCAGCCACCTGTGTTTAGCCACATCGTTTATTTGAAAGGAGCTATTTCTGTCCTGTTCTGAGGAAGATTCCATGACCAAAGTCCTCTGAGTCCATATGTCTGCCCCAGAAATATCTTCCTTTTCTTTTCTTCTTTTTTAAACAGGTGCAACGGAATAAAGAAAGCAAACTTAAAAGAAGCAAAAGTTCTCAGTGGTATGGGTATGGGTGTTTGTGTATCTTTGTATAAGAGACAGGAGGAGTGCAAATTATGGGAAAGAGTACAAAGGTTGTCTTTATGTGAAAGTAAGAGTTAAATGCATTTCCCAACCCTTTCCTCCAAAATGCCACCAAACTATGTGCTTAATAAATATACAGTTCAGGACTATAGTACCATTTCCATTAAGGCAAACAAATACCAGATTTGAAAAGCAAATGATGTTTGCTTAAAAAGAAAGCACACATATATGCAGACACACAAAAGAGGGGAAAGAAGAGAGAGAGAGAGAGAGGAGGTACACCGTGGCAGTAAGAGAAAAGGAGAAAGAGGGGACACAGAAGGGCTGACGGAGCCAGGAGGAACATGGCAGCAGCAAGAAAATGCAAGGGGAGGGAGAGGAGAGAGCAAAGCTGGTATGTCAAGAAAGTTCACAAGTGCTGTAGCCAGGCGAGAAGAAAAATCCTGGGATATTTGGCTGAAGGAAAAATGTAATGAAAGAGGAAAACATAAAAAAGAGAAATGTTTAGTTTAATTGAATCCTTTGTGTCTACGAGGTTCTTCTTTGGGAATGCACAGGAGAACCAGAAAACAAAAGTAAGAGCTTGGTTGTTGTGGGATTTTCGGGTTCTTTGGCCATGTTCTGAACACGGACAAAGAACCCGAAAAACCCACAACAACCATCAGATCCCGGCCGTGGAAGCCTTCGAGAATACAAAAGTAAGAGCTTCTTCTCCTGTTTGAAACAAAGGTCCCATTTCTAGATGGGGAAAAATGAGTCTGAAGAACAGGGCCTCATCTCTTCTTAAAGACTCTCTGTTTGAGTTGGAACACTGATTTTCCAGGGTCCTCAACTCATGCTGAGAGACGTCATAGGCAGTAGTTGGTCTCCCTCTTCGGAGTCATCACTTTCCGTAAGTTGGAGAGCAACTAGATAGGAAACAAGGATGGCATTAGAGCTCCCCCCACCAACCTGTTACCCATGGTAAGAGTACATAATTTGCTAACCACTGAATCAGGCTTTTCAAGAAACAGAAACTGGGAAAATAAGTCCACTTATTTCATTGTCAATGGCTTCGTGGAGTTATGATCAGCTCCAAATTTTGCAGACTGTTATACAGTATTACCAGCCTGGCCAACGAGTCAGTGTTGGCCTAAGAAATGCAGTTGCCTGA